GTTGAGCGAACGAACGACTTTCTTCCAGCAAGCGGAGACATTTGCGACATCACTGAGTTCGATAGTCAATGCTGTGAAGCAATATGCTCTTAACACTGTCGCCTCCTGAATCATAACACGATGTATAGTCAATATATATAGATATATATATATATATATATATAGCTATTTGTACAATAAATATTGCAGATGGAAGGCTTGATTAGGACGGAAGCGGTCAACTTCTATTGACGCCGCGCGTACGACGTTTGTCACTTGCGCTGTCTCATTCCGCGTCTCGCCTCGACGGTGCAAATCTCTCCCGTATTTGTTATTCGGGGGGCTAGACAGTGTGGCCGCGGGACGGCAGGTCATTTGATCGTTTATTTAAGTCATTCTTCATAAATCGCTCTGCAACAAAGAATGTTTGCGTTAGTGGGGGCGAAGGAAGAGAAGCCCTTCCGTCGCGTTATTTTTTGCTAAACTGCTACGATTACAAGCCGTCTTGTTTGCCAACTATCTATGGTTATCACTGGGGAAATAGTGATGGTGCCCCCGGCGGTGGACAGCACTGATTTGGCAGATCGTCTGATCAACGACCAAGCCTGACCATCTGTCTTTGCCAATGACACAATATATGTACTTCATGGAGAACGAAAACTAAAAAAACTCGTCGATAACCAATTATATTCTTCTCCTCCTCATCCCAGCGGTTGGGTGCTTAGGAGCTAAATGACTATGCATATCCTTGTCGCTTTGTTGTGCCTAAATATATGAAAAGCATTATTATATCTAAGACTAATGCAACTCCTTGCTCTCTACATCAATGGGATACTGTATGATGTTTTTGCGTTTTACATCAGATGCTATCACGGGGACATAGGGCGTTAAGTCTGTTTAAATGTCTATGGAAAGCTGGCTTTTGTTAGGGGTCCTGGTCAGGTGTTCCTCTGCACTATTGTTGTTCTTGTTCAATATAACGACGATGAATATTCACGAAGATTCACAAAAGGGCTTTTTTTTATTCTATCTCTCGTCGTTATCGCGCTTTCCAGTCACCCGTTTATGTCGACATGGGTCGAGTGTAGTATGCGATACAAACATTGTAAAGCCAAGCCCAAATTCGTCTCTAGTACAGCATAAAACCTAGATAAATCAGCCTATCAATGAAATGCCTGCTAAGCAATGCGTACTCTTCTTAATTGTTCACCAGCTTTGAAAGTAGAACTCCCTTATGTTGGCTTAATCAATATGAATATACATCTATACACTTCAACGGAAGCTAGAAAAATTCGATTTAAATCACACTCATTGACAGAATGCTAGGCCTTCTTTTTCGAAACAAAGCCGCGCTCTTACTCACGTGAGCTCGTCATTAGTTCCTCTCGTTAATGTCACGGACAGTCGATGACTAGTCGACGCAGCGCATACGTTGATGACTACCATTAGCAATATGGTCATGGGAAAAATGAATGATACGTTACTATTCTGCATTGCCCAGTTAAGACAATCCATTAATGCACAAATGATACCCAGCAAAATGGGCCATCACTGTCCGATAGGGACTGAGCTGCAAGTTATGTTCCATGACAGAGAACGAACCGGTCCACGATGAAACAGAACGACGGTACCCTTCGTAAGCACAGTCGCCTACACAACAAAGTGCTATGTCATAAAGGAACCATTTTTCTTGGCAATAAGATCAGTTTAACATCGGCAAGTAAACGATATTGCTTTACTGTAGATAACAAGGGTTTCTTCTCTCAGGTTGCCCACTGACACGGCAGCAAAAATAGAAAATCGCTTGGACAACTGGGCAAACGCCGCCGCTACGTAGATAGGCAGTTTCTCTTGGCGTTTCTTACCGCTCTAACAGAGACCAGCAGTGGGCGTCCTCATGTAGATATTTGGTATTAATTGCACCTTTGTAATTCGTTAACGTACGTGTAACCACCCACTGCTACGACTGCTACAACGGGTCGGGGAATAAAAAACAAATAGGAGGTAGAAAAAAAATTAACGCGGTACATTTTTTGAATGAGGATTTTTCAACCTACCTTACCTGTTACAACTGGTCGTTCGGTATTATGTTGATCTCTGCTTCTGTGGACCCTTAAATAAATTTTCTAAAACTCGTTCTATCTGCGCTGGTGACATAATTATTCCAAGTTTTAATAACTAGAACTTGTTTTTTTACGAAAATATCTATCTCTCAGTAAATAACCACAGCCTCTTTATGTACGCATAAAGCCGACGGTTGTTAACTTGCAGGACATGGTGCGATACGTACGGTTCGAGCTGTGGCAGTTTTTGCCTCATTGTCAAATGCGAGTGATTCCATATCTTATCGGTCAAGCGATAGCATGTTCTTCAGAATTCAATACGATTAGTAGGAGCGCCCTCAACTTCGCTGCCTGCAGTGATCGATAAGATCCGTGCCAATAAACTGGTACTTCATTTCGTTCAGCTCTGTGATAGGCGGCAAATCGAAAATAATACTCAATGATACATATCAGTGTTGTGACTATTATTAACAGAACAGAAAAACCCCCAGCCTGTCGTTGATCAATGATTTCTAATCGAAAATAAATTTGTGTTTAGGCTTACTACACGGACAAGTGGCGGAAATGGTAATAAAACCTTGTTTAAATATCCGACGCGCGCGTACGCTGTCGCTGTTGAAACAGACAAAGTCATTACACGTATGTGCCGCTTCTATATAATATTGGGCAGATATCGCTCAAAGCCTATACTCGATCTTTTTTTTTCTCTTATTGGCCAAGTGAGTTACTGAACAATAACGCTATCTCGCTGAGTGCGATAGTTACATGTTTTCGCTAAATAAATCAAGTAAAAGTTGTTTACAACTTCTTGTCTCAAGGCTACCCGCAGTACCTTTCGTTGAAAGTTATCATTCGAATGCTTGTTACCTATTGAAGCTAGCTTAAATTACGGACCTCGTGACCTTTAAGCGCAAAACAAGCTCCATACGAGTATCGCTAACCACATATAATTCTAATTGCTACATCTACGATTGGTAGTAGATCAATAATTTCGTACTTCGCGTTACCATATTGGCCTATGCGGTTACTTTTAGTTATAATGTGGATTATACAAATGCCACACCGCGCCCAGTATTGTTTCGGCCGGGTCGTCAGCTTTAGATTCTGGGCGTTAAGCTGTTTAGAGATCTACTCTGGCTTATGTTAAGGCGTACAATATGCGTACATATGTTTGATACACGACAAACTGCTATCGTAAAAAACGGTGCGCGTAACGTGCAGCGGCTCTTCTCGTCAAGTATTCAGCGGTGCCCTAGCATCATTTAAACGAATTTCTTCACACGGGGCGTTGGTCATAAGAATCGCTCATATGTTCAGTATTCTACTTCCTTAACTGACAACACCATTGACAACTCAATCATATTTGATGTGTTGACGATATACGTACAGGTTGGCGCCTATTTTAAAGCAGACGTTTGTTTTGACGGGCGTACGCTCGCTTCCCCATTTTTCATATTACAACAGAATCTGCCACTTCTATAATAGAACAGCAAATTCGTCATGGGGAATAACAATGCGTCGTTTTCGCAATTTCAGCGAAGTTGTGTCGAACCTTTTCGCGCTGGCTGAATTGCCACTAAAATTAGAAACCTCTTCCTTTGGCCCGAAATTAACGGTTTAGATTACTGTTAGTTTTCATGCGGATTCTGAGTCCGCATCGAAGGTTTCTATAACGCAAGCCGGAAAACTCTTTTAGATCTGAAGACCTCAAGAATTCATCAAAGTGGCTCAAAAAGCCATTTTTGATACACTTGGCTTCTTGATGCAGAAGTTGATGGCCACTTTGGAGCGGAAAATATCACCTATCAATTGTCCGGATAAGCTCTAAACGTTAGCCTTTTCGCGCCCTTCAGGTTTACAAATCTTCGAGACTATTAACCTACTATCAGGCCAGCATTTCATTTTACTGGAAGTTTTCACGTACTGTTTAATTGAGCTGCACCTCTGTGAGCGCATAGCTATCTCGATCTCTTTAGAAGCGTTTTATCGACGCAGTCATTTTGATACTGACCAGTGAATGGTCGGGGCCCAGAATTGTATGGGTCTATGTAAATACGATGATACATGACATCAAAAATGACACGTCTAAAATCTGTTTTTGTCTATTGTATAGAAAGGTCCCAATTCAAGCACTCTACTTTATATATATATATACATTGTCAGTTTGATGAACGGCCAGGCATGATGGGATGAGGAAATTGTATAAGCGACAGAATTTCTACTATTACCTTCTCCTTCGTACCGGGTGAAATAAATGAAATTCTTGACGAATCGATCGACTATCACAGCCGCAGTCGCAAAAACGAATATGTGGCCACAGCGGCCTTCACTAGCCCCTAGACTTACTAATACTATAACGGTGGACAATATAATAGTGGGTTTAGTAAGGGGCGGCAAATAATCTGTGGTCTCCGTAGCACAGAACAATCTGGTTCAGGGTTACGGAACGATGTAGCCCGAAGCTCGTCCGAAAAGTGGGCTACATTATTACTTTAGTGTTTAAGCACACTATGTATAGCAGGATCAATTTGCTCGTATAAAACTAATCACTGTAGCCATGTTACCGTTCTAGGAGTAAATATACAGTAACAGTGTTATAGTAGAGCTTTCGTCAATCACTTTGTTTCTAAGTAAGTTTGCGTCATAATCGCATCCTTCGTTAGCAGTTTACGTATGATTTTTTCTCGACGCTAACGGTTTTCTACCAACGTACTGTAGTTAGTTACAACGTGTTCCACTGGGATTAACCCTAACCTAACCTAACCTAACCCGAAAGCAAACTTATTTTTGTAATAGTTTCAATGCGTTCGGTCCATATAATGTACCACTTAGCGCTAACACCTCACGTTTCAGTTCGATACGCAGTACGGAGTATTGTTTCGCGACGGTTGTTCAGTGATCATACGACAACCTCGACCGTTGCCATTCAATTCTATTCTTGTTTTTATACAATTTCAGGCGATTTTGTGTGCGGCAAGCGCCGTGGCTGGGGACATTATTGAGGTGAGTACTAAATGCTGAAACGGTATTGCATTTATACACGGCTATAATGTATAATTTTCTGTCGCAGTTACTTACTTCCTGTCACTTTGGCGCGTCAGCGCCCTGTTTCGAAACGCTCTCGTTTTTTGTCACTTGTATTTATTATTTTTTGGACACGTTGAGGGAAGCAGCTAACGTCCGCGCTTGCTAGGTCATCCCTCGCAGGATAACACTGATCAGGTAGTTCTGATAGAACCGATCATTCTGTCGACTTAATTAACGTAACTTAGCGTTCTATTATGTTTTTTTTTAGCTATATGTTAATAATATCAAATTTAATTACTGTTTTATTGTCTGACACGACTGTCTCTGTCTGGCTGAACTATCGGCTTGCACTCAGCGTGTTACGTGCAAACCCTACATAGCAAATGTATGCACCACCATGAATGTATCGCGTAGACTTCAACGTCTGTTCAGAGCAGCTGTTGAAGTATTGGTGAATTTGATGATTACAGTATAAAAGCAAACGTTTGTTGAGAATAGTATTTCCTTTGACAAATTTTACGATTATTGAAGAACAATGAAGCCATGACGATACGAGTATCACCCGATCCCTGTCGCACGCTAACTCTTTGGGATATTCTCAAGGTCTCCATAACGCCCAGAACTTCCATTATTACTATTACTGCTAGCACTATAATGATAGTTCGCTCAAACATCCTATAAGTCGCTGCTAATAAATACACTTACTGCCCGCTGGTGTTTGGCACTAACATAGACGGCACACGAAACGAAAACGTGTGCAGAAACACATATCATTAGCAAGTTTCAACGAGTGTCAGTCACTCAATAAACGCGCCGTAACGTAGAGCGCTTCGGTGTGGCGGTCCTGGCTTTTCATCACATTATCGTCAGGAGTAGTCTGACGTGAAGAGTGATCAGGATGATGACAATGAGACGACGACAATAGGCGAGCGCTAGCGCTCGAAGCAGACAATGATGAAATAAGTCTATTTCTACTCGAGTGAGCTCTGTTGAAGACTTTTCCTTATCATATATATATATGTTTTACAATATTACGATAGCAATAGAGATTGTTGGACTCAATTATTCTATTGTTTAGCAAGCACATATCGTTAAAATATGTGCTACAGAAATTTATGACCACTTAAAAAATAATTAGCTCTAAGAAAGAAGCGGGAAAATGTAAATTTGTTGGCTCCTGGTTTTCAGTCAAGGACAGAAGTTTATTCAATAAGAATTAGTGTTTCATCCAAGGGCACCCTTCAAGGTTGTTTTTATAAATTTATTCATTCCAGCTAAACAACGATTCAGTCGTTGGACAACAACTACATTTGCAGTAATTTATTAAAATACCTGATCTGAATATAGCAATTATATAAGAAATGCTGAGCGTTTACTTCATCAGTCGTAGCTTGACTGCAAAATGACATATTTTGCCCTATTGACGTTTCACTCAGCTGCTTATCATGTGGACGTAGTGATTAATATGTGCGATTCACTTATGTATTTGTCACAAAATAACAGAATGTACAAACACAGTGTCTATCGTTTGCTTCAACCTTGGTAATCATTCTACTTGTAATAATACAGGGACCTTTGGAAAAATATCTTTACATTACTGCCTTTATTTATTCACTTTGAAGGAAAAACACATCCCGCAACCTTATAAATTTGGGTACGAGTCCCAAGACGAATGGGGAAATGCACAATCTCGTCATGAGCAGGATTTGGGCGACGGCGTGAAGACAGGTTCGTACGGATACCGCGATGCATTGGGCATTTTCCGTCACGTCAATTACGTTGCTGATCACGCCGGGTTCCGTGCTTGGGTGAAGACCAACGAACCGGGCACTGTTGACTCTGCCCCAGCCGCCGCTAAGATCGAGAAGAACCCCGAAATCATTGTCAAGGCCGTGCCTACAGTCGCCGCACCTAAAGCTGTCATTGCTCCGGTTGCCGCGTCACCGATCGCCGTCTACGCTGTGACCCCCGCTGCGGTGGCGGTTTCTGCACCAGCACCCGTGGTCGTATCTGCCCCAGTTTCAGCGCCAATCATTACGGCCAAATCCAGATTCGCAACGTATGCAGCGCCTGCTCCGACCCTAAGAATACCCGTTGAGTTCGGTGAAAAGGTTCGTAAGAAATTTTATCGCAATTAGTGTTTTTTGTAGTTTCGTGAGGGTTTAATAATCGGATGCTGGTCTTAGTAATACTGGAAATAATCGACGTGTCTTTAAGAACTATGTCGAAGCAAAAGTGTTTGACACTTTTGCTTTTTTTTGCTTGTGTTTTATGTAGTCATTAGCATACACTTCAAAAAAGACGCTAACCGATATTTAACGTCTCCTAACACCATTTTCCATAATGTCTAGAGCATGAAGCGAAATAACGAAGAAAAAAGAAATATTAACAGAAACTGATCAAAGCTTGTGTTACAGTGAACGGATGCTGATACGGAAATCAGAGCAGTCAGTTATGAACAGCTGACAAGCTTATGACGTAAGAGAAATAAATTAACCTGACTGTACTTCTTATTCAACAGGGATTTTTTTAACTGGCTAAGCGGCGTAAGATGACGAAGAATAACATTCCACCTTGTATTATATTGCTATTGCTCAATCATTTTAGCTGGCTCCTGGTCCCATCGTGGCTGCGCCTAGAGTCGCCGCCGCGGCTGCCTACAGTGATGGAACGGAGGCTGCGTCGGCGCCTCTTACCCTCGCGGCGTCGAGTGTTGCTTCCGCGCCAGCCGTTCAACCCGTGCCAGTGCGTAAACTCGTTGGTCCTTCGGCTGCCACCTTCGTCGCTCCCCTAGCACCCGTCGTTTCGAAACTGATTTCGTCCCCGAAAATTGCCACAGGCCCCATTATTTCTGTAAGTACCTTTTCCACCAGGGGGAGGGAAAAAGCTAAAATTAAATCGTCCAGCATATCCTGGAATCGTAATACATCGAACATGTGTAATAATTACATATGTTTAATACATGAAATTCTCTTTGCTATATGAACAGAGTGGCCTTCACACGGCATCATCTGAGGCCCTCGTGGTGGCCCCCGCACTCACGGCAGTCCCTCTGCTTTCCGTTCCGACAAAAAAGCGGCCCTACGAGAAATTCGCTGAGACGTTCAGAAGGAGGAGACCGATCAAGACCATCGGTGATAAAGAAATCTACCTTCCACCCACGTTAGTTACCTCTGCTGGTGTTCCTGTTTACAAGGATAAGTAAACAACAGCCAGAGCACACAAACGATATCCTAGGATAAGTGAGAAAACGCAATACTCTGAAACGCCTAGAAAAATAAAATTATCGTTAGATAATAGTCCTACGGGAATTACAAATCACAAGGAAAAACCCAAAATTTCACTATAAATCATGTGGATGAATTGTACGTGTAGGCGGGGCGTTGCCTTATCATCACACAGCGGCCGAAGAACTTGAATGCTAAACAGTAAATAAACAACTTCCTACTTTTTCTTACTTGAGTTATCTCAAGTAGGCCAGCAATTAAATCATCATTTCTGCAGACTACAGCTTCCAATGTCAAACATTGGAAGATTCCCGTCGTCTTAGCATTGTGCCGTGGCTAAAACCGATAAAGAAATGCGATGCACAAGAGTAACTGTCCACTATTAGAAACTTAAGAAAAAACTTGTCCATCGTCAGCTTTTTAGTTGACACAAACAGACCCGCAAATACGATGAACGATATAAGCCAGCGACTGCAACAACAACAACACCCATAACTAATCTGTGAGATGAATCACTTTAATCGCTAAAAATTATTAAGCACCAACGGCATATCATAACAATGTCATTAATACACCGAAACGCTCACAAACCGTACCGAGGAGCACACTTCTAGAACTATCGAAGGCGTCTGAACTTTTACAGACGTAACGGCCATCGGCAAACATCCGGAGACAAAATCAACACCAGTTGATGTTTCCGATGGATCGTTAAGATGGCTTATTATTTATTGTTATTATTGTTTTCGTTTAACAAACGGTGATAACGAGTAGAAACACCAGCGTGATGGAGTACAGCAGTACAATTGTCCTTGACCATGGCTCTCCTTCGGCGCGCTACGCAGCGAAAAGACATTGGATATGTGGGCATGAAGATATGGTGGGGACGTGAATTGTTATTATTGGGGATGTCGGAACACGAGGCTGATCGAACACAACACTGATCGAATGACTACCATGAAAGCCATCTGCGGTAAAAGACATGTATAAATTTACCGTTGCATAAATCGAAAGAGGGTTTTTATTGAGGTTGGGGGAGACGATGGTAATAATCATGATTCTCGCAAAACCAAAAAGAAAAATAAGATATGAACGTCGTGTGTGTGAATGTAAGAATAAAAAAAAATCATGCCATATTGAAATGTTCTTATTTCTTCGGGTTCTATTCTTAGGGCATAATGTGTTTCCTGCCGTAACTGCCCATACAGATGCATAGAAATATTCATTATATTAGATCGTCCTAGGTTTTAGAAGCGATTCAAATTGAAGTGCCTTAACCAAAATTGGGTGAAGAAAGAAAGCCGAAAATTTACTATATCTGTGAGGCTTTTAAATCTTCCAGTGTCGTCGCTTTTCTGGTGTAAACTTTATCTTTAAGGTATCCTCACAAGTTAAAAAGCGTCAGGCTTAGGAAACGGGCACAATCCTCTATGAGACATTTTTGTACAATTCACAGTTTGGAAAATTATCACCAAAATAAGCTCTTACTTCACAATGATGGGGGCAGGAGTAGGAGATAAAATTTGCCATCTTCGCCTAAGTTCTTCCTTGTGTGCTAAAACAGATTGCAGCAGTAAATTCAGGTAATAGGACCAGTCAGCGTGCCCTCAAAAAGAATGGTCTAATCACCTACTTAAAATTCCGCTCTTAACTGTAACCCCTGGTAAGCCTGCATGACCTTTATAGCATGTGGATTTATAGTTGCCCAGTTTCTACAACCGCGTTGATTTATTGTGGTATTTTAGCTGAAGATAACTTTATCGCTTCAAGTTTCCCTCCATGATAACTGTGTATTAATTTTTTCAAGTAACGTTCAAAACTGCTTCCGTCGCTTTGGAGTACGTGTCATTATAATTTTTCCTTTCATAGGTCCTCAAAGAGAGAAACAGTTGATTTACTAATGCCAAGCTTACGTGACTGCTTTGCAGGTTTTCGGGATGATCCGCCACATCTTTCCAGTGCTTTCTTTAGTCTGGTAAAGCTTACTGACGCTGGAAGCGTTGCCTATGAAACAGCCTAAAGCATATCTGTTTCGAACCTGATTTTCATTCAATTAGCTGTCGCGTAGGTGGATCTACTTCGAACTTCCTGTATATTGTCCTTGTACTTTAGCCAGACTTTGATACCTTCAATAGAATTTTCGAAGAAGTTTTTTGTCCAAGAATTAATCTTGGTCTGCTACTTGTTTAATTAATAACGCCCGGAAAATAAAAAGACTAGGAAAAAATTAAGATCCGTTGACAAATCTACATATCATTGAATATAATATCTGAATCTTAAACACATCGAGGAAGTATTTGGTCCTTCTAGAGTCATGGGCCGGATAAGGGCATATCAATGGAAAATATTTAGTTGTCTGTTTACGAATAGGCAGATGATCGTTGCAAAGAACTCATTGAGAGACTAAAACTTCGTGCGATGTGTGTTTTCTGCTCACAAGAGGGCTAAAGTCGAAAGGAAAAAGTAATTTAGTTAAAGGGTTAGAGCTTATGTATTTTATATTTGGTTTATTTCTGAATTTTTCCAGTGGAACATAGCTTCATCTTTTGATTAGAGTTTGCTTTAATTATTGAATTGAATTAAATTGACCAAGGTATGTTTTTGAATTAGCTGATTCATATCTCATTTTACTTTCTATAATATTATTGACATAAAATCTGTGACACGACCACTTTTCGTAGAGCAAGTATCTAGTCACGAAACATGCACGCACCGTACAACACGACGCGTCTCCTATATATATATATATTGAGATACAATTAATGACTATCGCTACGAGCAGGCCGCACAACAAGGTCTGTTAGCGTTCAGTCACTCGATTCGATTAAAGCCATTTGCTGTTTTGGACTCTTCCTTTCTGCGGCTTACGAAACTCTATTCTAAATAGCTAGTGCCACATATGCAGAGGCAGTATCGAGGGTCTGCTTTGATGGGGAATCATACGATTTTTTCTGATATTCTTGTGGCTGTGTTGGCCCTCCCTTCAAGGTGATGTAAGGTGACAAACGGATGATTTGATCGATTCATTAGTTGGCGGTAGGCATCTACTAGATATCGATATTACATAAGGTATTTGGTATAAATTGTAGACCTCGACCCCAAAAAGAAAAAGCCAAGGAAAATTAACCGACTAATTGCTAATTGGTGTACCATTTAAAAAAACTCGATTCTCTTTAAATTTTCTCTAAGGTCATTCTTGAGACTATTGTATGAACAAATCTAGGTATGTTCGCACAATAGTCTCAAAAACAAAAAAATGTCTCAACTCAAAAATGGCATCTGAGTAAATATCACCAGATCCTCTAAGGTAGCCAGAAAGCATGTTTATCATAAACGTAACGCCTTTGTTTCTTTTTTTCTGTCTCAAACATCATCGAACGTCTGTCTATATCGTGGTCTTCAGCCGTAAAATGTCTATACTTTTTATTGCCTTATAGACGGTCACGCAGTCTTTTGAGAACGGCGAAACGCTTATTTTGCATACGTAAAGTAAACATTATGAGCGACAACTTGCTTGATCTAGAACTGCTTATTTCCGCGAATTTGTAATCCTATTTCGAAGCAGTAATCTTCAAACGTTGCTGAATCAATAAATTGCGTGAATTGCTTGAGACGTCCCTTTTAAAGCAGCGATCCAGCAGCGGTATACATCAATGGGGGACCCTATCGGGGCGACAGTGCATTTTTTAACCACCACACATTTTACATATCTAATTTTTTTTCACAGAAAATGGTTATCGTTTTTAAAAACATTAGCGATAATCGATACAGCTGCGCCTCCTAGCTTTGAAACCAGGAACTATTCTTTCATGAGCCGTTTACCAACATTGATTCGCTGTTTTTGTGTTTGATTTTAATTTATAATCCTGAATGGAAAACGCTGCATATAGCGTGGTTATAGGGATCTGTGTCTTTTTTGTGAGTGGATATTTTCCTTATTATACTACTTAGCTACCACTTAGGTTATGCTACTTACCTGCTATTCTAAACCACATCTACCTCTCTATCCTAGAAAATGCCTTCGGTAGCCTGTTTGTGTAACCCAAAACAGCCCCTCAAGACGGTTCAGGCCTGAATTTCATAAAGACCGATAGAATGAATACTTTTTCTCTAGGGAGAGTTTCCATTCCATCTAGCCTAAGGTTAATTTGGGAATTTTGGCAATTTTCTCGATAATCGTAATAATATATTTATGGACTATACCAGTTAATTTTTTCACAAAGCAGTTTTTCCTTCTACTGGGAGAGGCATTCTGCTTTAGTTTATTTACGGAATGCTAGACAGGACAATCGCGGTGAATTCATTTGTGTTTCTTTTAGATTCAAATCTAGATAGTATAAATATCTGTTTCCGAGCGGTGGACTTTATTGAAATTAGAAAACAGAAGAAATATAATAGATTTTAATATTGATTCAGTTGGCGAACGAAAGTCGTTGTTAAAGGACGTGGGACTGGGTTAAATAGTGTAGCCCAGAATCGTCGCGTGTACGGCTCAAAGTTAATTTAGGGTTATGTGGCTTTACGGTGGTAGTTTTAAAATCGAGCTCTTTTCAGCAGAGTACGCACAATACATGAAAAGATTAATGATAAATAAGTAGAAAGTCGGAATTATTCCGGCAAGGTAACCAATCACAGTTTAATAAAATAACTGCACCGCTAACGGGGTCACTGGCCCTAGGTAAGACTAGATTAAAGTAACATGGTCCATCAAACCAGAGGCCTGTAGCGGGATATTTGAATTAGCCTCACAAGATTTCATGAAAATTGAGACTGGATGTTTGGAACAGAGCAACAATTCATACTTTGCTAAGTGTAGTACTAGTCGAATCTTTTCCTTGCTGATGGTATCTATCCGTCTACAGGGTCTGTTGTTGAAAATCGGCTCCATTTTATTTTGTTTGAAATCTTTTATAGATGTATATAGGAATGTTGTGGCGGCTAATTTTTGTGAGAGTATTCCCACAAAATTGTAGTTAAATATTTACATAGAGGTCTACATAGAGGTATTTTTTGCTTATTAATATATAGGTGAGCTGAGTAAAATTGGCATTCGTATTCCTACACCTAAAACGAATATGTCGGCATAAAGATGGCGAAAAACTATCTGTAACATGCTTTTCCCATATAGCAATGAGGGCAAAATTGCTAAAGTAATTTGGAATGAATTTCTAATACATATCAATTGGAAAGTTGAAGCGGCTGATATAGTGGCCATATTGATAATACAATTTATCCCAAATATATTTTAGATTTTATGGAGAAACGTCAGAATATCGAAACGTTCTTTTTTCTATGCAATGAACCACTTCCTTGGCGCTTTTACCCTGATGTCAATCGATGGGCCTCGACAGGCCGAGAAAACAATGTAGTACTTCTTCCTTTATACAGGATGGGTATTTTGACATGAAGAGACCCCCAAAACTGAATGTGGAGGCTGTTTTGCTTATGTAACACTGAGACAAACATGGAGATCTATGTAAACGATCTTCCTTTTTATTACTAATTAAAAAGTCTGCCTAAGCTTGCATGAAATATCTTCCCTATGAGTTGTTCCTATACTTAAATCTTACTTCACAATGATGTTTGTTTTCGAGGCCAGTGGCCCAGTTATTTC